GGAAAGAGGGTGGGTGGGAGGAAGCTTAAAAGGATTAAACTGTGCCCCCACCACGAAGATGCCTCTAGACACGCAGGAGCTCTTCACTGGGAAATGGGGATGTTCTAACCTGTATTGAAATTTCGGGGGAGCAGAAACAGTCAAGTCATGCACAAAAGTGTCCAGAGGAGATGCTTCTCAGGACAGCCTGCTGGCCGGGGGGATGCCTTTCTCACTAGGGGCCAGGAATGGGCCGGAGCAGTGGGAGAGATGACCCTTGGGGGTGACCTCACTCCCCACAGGCCTTTGACCCACAGGATCTGGAAAAGCCTCTGGCCACTCCTGCACGACGTCCATTCAGGTCCTGCTGTGCGAAGAAGAGCCAGAGGGGCAGGGGGACCCTGGCCCTTCCTGAAGGAGAATTCGGCCAGATGCCCCTGGAGTCCTTCATTTGGTCACTTGACCCTCTCGTTTTGGCCAGCAGGACCCTTTGGGGCCAGAGGTGAAGTGCAAGGCTGCCAAAGTTTCCAGACAGTGGACGGGGAGGCAGCAGCTCGCAGGGTCCTGGCAGGAGCCTGTCCCCCACCCACCTTGGAGGCAGTTGTGGTCTGAGACCCACGAATGCCTGGGACACGAGGCTGGGCGCTGCCAGAGCCCCGATCCCCATCCCCAGAGCAGCTAATGCCTGGAACCAGGCTCACTGCCTGAGGGCCAGGAGCCCCAATGTCCACCCACCATCCAAGACACATCACAGACCCCAAGGAGGTCGGATGGATCAGAATTCCCACTGAGCGACAGGAGGCGGCTTTATGTCCTGAATTTCTGTCTTTCTGTTCTAAAGTAACCATTGGAATAATTTTCTTACAGAATGATAGTTGCCATGACAACCAGAGCAAATTTTCCTTTTCTGAAACAGATGTCTCATTTAGTTGAAAATTAGAATGTGAACAAACCCATGGGAAAAATTAATTCAAACTTTAACAGAGCGCTGAATACAATGTAATCTCTCAGAGGTTAACCCCTTAACAGCTTTTTTGTGCGCTTATGGTAACCTTAGAATCGGGTCTAATTAGGCCCGCTTAGCCAATATAAATGACCTCCTCGTGGCCGATCATTAAACGGTCTCCCCCTGAAGCATGAATTCCCAGTTCCCTAACGGCAGGCGGGAGGGGGGCGATACTCGTCTGCAGAAAATGGCTGAAGCACAGCCTACCCTGCTCTGGTTTTTCTATCTCCCCAGGTAAGCGCACAGCCCCTGGAGATGGGGTGCACCAGGGGCCATTCAATTAGTCTGGAGTATGGGCCCCATTTCCCAGGCGTGCTGGGGTGTTGGGGTGGAGGAGCCCGGGGTGCCGCTGGGTGGAGCTGGATCCCATGGTGCACCCAGGCCAGGACAGAGGGCGGGGTGGGGAGGAGGATGCCAAGGGGGAACTGAGGGGGCACACGGGGGTCACCAGGGGGACACCACACAGACATAGCTCCAAGGCTCTCCATGAGCCCGCAGTCCTCACAACCACCCTGAGAGGCAACTATCGTCACTGCCTCATTTTGCAGATGCAAAAACTGAGGTGCAGAGAGGTTCAGAGACTTGCCCAAGTTTACCTGGTAACCAAGTGGCACAACAAGGACTCAAACCCAGAGAGCAGATTCCGCAGCTCTCTGCTTCAGTCCCAGAATTACGACAGGACGGCCAGGAATCCTGCCTCGTCTCCCTCCATAAACCCCACTTTACCAACCACTGTCACACCTTAGCTCAGTTGATCCTCAAGACAAAGACGTCAGGAGGCCCCCAGTGCAGAGATGAGGAAATGATGGCACAGGGAAGTCAAGTGACGTGCATGAGGACACACAGGAGGCAAGAAGGACCTG